TGATGGTAATAGATGTGCGAGGCTGATGTTGATGGTGATGATAATGCTGACGATGACGGCGATGTTGCTGTTTCCGGTGATTTTACATGCTGATGTCATTGGTGACGTTGGCCGGGACGTTTATGAATGTAATCAGAAAATTTCCTGTGAGGTCATAGCGAGCTCAAATTGAAATTAGAATGAAACTATACATATTACGACAAGTCGCAATAAAACACAACTCGCATTAAAAGACAATTCGCAATATGTGCTAGATACGCAGGATGCGCAAGACTTAAAACGAAATTTAGAGCCGGTTATCGCCGCATCCCCGAAGACCTGAAGCCGAGAATATAAAGTTTTCAATTGGCTTCAAAAACTTGTGCGTTGTCGCTTTCCTGGAATTTTGCGAGTTGTCTTTTGTTTCGAGTTGTCGCGCTATCCCTTGTAACATAAATATCGGAGGACGGAACCAGCTTAACAGGACATACCCAGCTGAGTAGCTCACTTTTGGAGAATGATTTTTTTTGCCTGAAACAAAACGATCAAAAGCAGTAACATTAAAGAGGTTTACGGCTTACGAATTTTTGTTCTCTATTCCTAAGGGTAGCATCAAAGTAAAAATACGATAAGGCCGAACTTTTTTGGTTGTATATCGATTGAATATGCTGGGAGAACAAACTTAAATGAATAGAACCCTTCACCCGCTCTGAAGTTTCATGGAAATTAATCGATTAAATTAGATTTTCATAGTCAGTCTATATAAAATAACACAAATAATTGATTATAATCGATTAAAAATGGATTATAATGATACTATTTTTTAAGCAATAAAATCCCAATATAATTGCTTTTAATCGATTTTAATCAATTTTTTTCAAAGTATTTTCAAAAATTTTATCATAAGAAACATAATCAATTTTAATCTATTATAATGGATTATAATCTACTTATTAAAGCCTCTCGTTGTGCTGTTTTCGTTTTTTCATAATGATATTCAACTTAATTCAGTTATTTTGTCTCTCCCTAGTTTCAACTTTTTCCAAATTTCAATCGCGAAAACTTATAAAAAGCCAAATACTTTTATTAGACCCCACACCACTCCACCCCCACCTTTACCCGTACTACATAGTTATCTGTCCAATTGGGGTATCTAGTGTTTAGTGGGGGGGGGGGGGGGGGGGGGGGGTGCGTGGTAAGCGCGTGGGGAGGGGGTGGTTTGAGTTTAAATGCGGGGAAGGAAGGGAGATGGGGGGACGAGGGGGGACAGGGGGGGGGGGGGGGGGTGTTTGGACTTCGGGTGACTTCAAAAAAAAATCGAAAATTTATTCGATTTTTTTCAGGTCGGCCAAGCTGATTCTCCGAGCACTCCCAAAAATTAAGAATAACCTAATTCGACAAAAATATTAGCAACTTTCTTAGCGACAAACTTCTGAAAACAAAATGGTCAAAAATGCCGTTATGGGCAATTTTTGGAAAATTACTACATATTGGTCTCTTCAAAATTACTACAAATCGACCACCCCTGGTTGAACGTGTTCGTTCGAGTTTTGCAGAAAGTTGCAAAAAATAGAGTCTATATTTTGAGAATTCAATCAATATAGAAAACAAAAATGGATTATAATCGTTTATAAAGGATTTTTATGGATTTTTCTTTTTCGAAAGATATCGATTAAAATGGATTATCATTCCCTTACATTGTCTATTTTTGCCATGAGAATCGATTCTATAGACAACACTTTAGTAAAACAAAATCCAGTTTAATTGATTTTTATCCATGAAACTTCGGTGCGGGCAAAAAATGAGGGGTTCTCTTTATTTGCTTATTCAACAGAAAAGTGGGCGATCAAAATTTGAAACTTTAAAGGCATTTTTCTCAAAATGAGTTGAGACTAGAGAAAAAGTGAAGCCAACGAAAGTTGCTTAAAAATTCAATAAAAATATTCTGAAGCAAATTGTTTTTCGTAGCTCGCAGCCAAAATTTTACTCCAGAAACGGGATTGTGCTGATGAGTAAATGCAACTGATGAAAAAATTATAACAAACTACGCCTCTTACGCAAACTGGCAAAGTTTTAGGAAGATAAAATGCCAAAAGATTGCAAAAAAACGATCGAAACTTGTTTTCAAGCAAAGATTTTGTTTTTTATATATTAAAAATGACCTCTTTTGATTATCAACCAAAAGGATATTCTTCTATACAGATTTTTGAAGATTTCACGCCGGTAAAATTTTGTCAGACTTCATTTGATATAATTTTCTGATCAATCAACTCGGTAATTTCAGCACAACTCTTGATTAACTAAAAAAAATGAGAATGGTAAAATTTTAGTTGCTACTTTCGAAAAACTAGTTGCATCATAGTACTTCTGGTGAAATTATAAGCAAATTTTGTTTCATCTTATTTTTTTTTGTCTTACCTTAACCCTAATTGAGAACCACACGTTTGAAGTTTCAACTTTTGATCGTTTTGTCCGGATAATTTAAATCAGCATTAGTTTTTCTGACAACAAAAAAAGCGCCTGTTTTTTAATTTATTTCAATTATATTCTTCAACTAAAATTTAAATAAGTTTTGTTTCAAAATTTAGAAGGTGACAAAAAGAGTTTCTATAATTAATAGAACAAAACTTGCAATTGGCTCGTAAGATTGATTTCTGTTTCACCTGCTCAAAGCAAAACGCTGTAGCTTCTAATTAACAACAAAAGTAGCATTTTGTTAAGTAGAAACTTAAACTAACTCAATCTAACTTTGACTTCAAAGCATAAAGAATATCAATTAGAGCAATTTAAACTGTGTTTGTCGGAAAAAAGATTGGAAAAACAAACCCCTTAAAAATCAGTGCACCTTACTTAAATTACCCGAAAGCTTTCAGACTGTCGAGGAGAAGTTCTTTTAGACCGGAACTTCAAGTTTTAGCCTCTTAGTTATCAAATTGTAAGCAGTAGGTTTGAAAGAAATAAATCAAAATAAATGAAAAAAACAAATCACTACATTAGAATTTACGTTACGAAATTTAGGTTTCCAAGCTCCGCAGTATTCCATTTGGGAGGACTTTCACTTTTTAAATACAAACTGAGACAAGGCTGCTCGTATCAGGGCGAAGCCCTGAATGTTCCGACTGCCTTTTAATGTTTAATAAAATGTAATAAAAATGAAAAAAAAAAATTCCAAAATTTGAATTTTTTTTTTGAAAATCATCCCCCCACACGCCATATAAAGTACAAAAGGAACGATTTCACTCCTTGTAACAAATCAATTATGGCAAATGAGCTTCGTTCAACCAATTTGAACGATTTATTAGACGGATTAAATATTAAATCTCCGATTACGCGTTAATAGCGCGAATTATATCGCGCGTTAATTGTCCCATATTGGCCAAAATGGCAATCTTTAAACCCCCGTAACTTTACCAAAAATGATCACAGGTGAAATATCTTTTCAATTTTGAGCTCAGGAAAACAATACCTTTCGAATGATGTAAAAAAAGTTCCGTCAAAAATGGCTAGTTAAAAAGTCAAAATTTGTCTGAAGAAAAAAAAACCCACCCCGAGCACAAATATTCCGTTAATTTCGTATCGAAAGTCGGAACAAAAAATAAGCAGCTTCAACAATTTCTAGAAGAAAGTCAAAATGAGTCATTGTGCTTTAGCAGAAGCAATATATTTCTCGGTAATTAGCAGACCAATTAGCAATTAGTCGATCAAATTGATTTTCTGAGCTCTCCCAAAACACTATAAAGACCCCAACTTGACCAAAGTTTCTGGGTCGCAGGCAAATTTTTGAAAAAAGGCCGAAAAAAGCGTTTTTTGGCACTTTTTGGAGATTTTCGACAAAAAAAACGCGTTTTTTCGGCGCGCCATCTCAAAATTAGTATAAATTGGCACCGAAGGCGCCTTCAGAAAAATTTTAAGGTCAGTCAGCCAAAAATGGATCTCTCTAAATAGTACAAAGGGGGACCCTTTGGTTTGGCAGGGGTTCGAATCCCTGAGAGAAGAGACGTCCCCCCCCCCCCTAAATCCGTTACCGATAATCAGCAAGATGACCTTGAAATTAGACAAAAATATTCTAATTGAAAAAAACTAGTCCGGATTACTCAACGGAACGAAAAGAAAACGATTTCATAAAATTGTACAAGAAAACATCAAGCAAAACACCACTTTTTTTTAAAAAATGGAATTTTATGATCACTTTAACACTAAAAAAAAATTCTGTCAACCCATGTACAACATGCATAAACTTGTTTTTCATTGATCTACATTGAACCTGTATTTCAAGATGATTTTTGAATACGGCTCGTAATTGAAAACAAATTTCGATGACCCTGTCATTGATATGAGCACTATCCCAAGAAAACTAAGCTTCAAGAAGATATTTGAATCTGTATACGAGTTGTCGGAGAAAAAATGTATAGCGTAAAAGAACTTCACCTAATGTCTTAATTGAATTGCGCTGAAAGTGAATCTGAAGTTCTTGGAAACAAAATCAGATCCGACAGAAGTTTCGATATGAAATTCCTTTGATAATATCGAACAACTTACAGATCAATTATGACAAACATTTATGACAATCTACGCACCTAAAAAGTGCTTCTCTAATCTTTCTCCTAATCCTTAGAAAAAAGAATCGCCATGTGACTCCGAGCAAAGTTAACAAATTTTACAATCATAATCTACTGACTGCATCATAATAAATAAAGAGCTAATAGAAAAAATATTCTTTTTTTTCTATTAGCCTTGAGCTTTCTCTATATATTCAATCGTATTGAGTTTTGTTCAGTTTGGCGAATTTTGAGAAACAGTTGTAGCTGGTGGTATTACGCCATCATCTGTTCCAAAATCTTGTACTTTTTGCGCTCAGATTATTTTAAAAATTACTTGTGAAAAAGGTATGTTTAAATTTTGGACAGTTGAAAAAAGCTGAAAAAATTTCTTATTAAATTATTGTTAAGTGAACCCACTGGGGGGTCCGATTTGAGCGAGTGCCAGGGGGGTGTAAGATTACACCTGTACTTCTGTTGCAGTTGGGAAGGAGAGTGCAGGATGAGAAGATAGGCGATGTGTTGCAGAAACAGAAGAACAACAAACAACACAGCAGAAGTGGTGCCAAACTACTCAGTCTCGGTAAGTGCCATCATGTCTCAAGTGTCTGAAAACCTATTGCCGTAACAATGACATCTCATGCACAAAAATATAGAAAAGAGACCTTATCTTTTTTAACACCCACTTTTGCTTGAGTCTAAAAACTTGCAGCCCGCCAGACAAAAATAGTTTGCCAAAATTTGCAGCCCATCAAATTGAAATACCCTTGAAAGTACGTTTCTGATAAAATTCTGAAACTATAATGGATTTTTTAGATTCGAAATTAGTGAGTTGGTTTTGTTCAGAGCGTAGACTTCCAGTGGTGAGTGACAGCATGTTCGGGCGCAGACTGTTCGAGTCTGACGAATATCTCTTGTTCAAGGTCAAAGCTACCAGGTCAGTTTGTCATGAAGTCTTAGGTTTTTTCTGTTATAGTCAAACGTATTGCTGATCAAAAAGATCATTTCAAGAACGAGAGCTTGAATCTATTTTTTGGTAAAACTTTAATAAAAATATGTCTCAAATGATTTTCAATAAAATTGTAGATAAATATAACAAAATTTAATCTTATTTAGAGCTTATTTTCTAATGCTTCAGAGTGATGCTCAACTTCATCAAACATCTGATAGATGCTACCAGCCATGTGTCTCTTAAGCTGGACCATCTGGGTGTAATTGTGCTGGAGTCTATCTCGCAGAAATTCCTCCAACCCTGGAAGTTCGGCAGTGAGAACCCACTCATTCAAGACCTCATCTTCCCCATCACTCAGCAGGACTTCGGAGACTTGCGAGTTACCGGAATGCAGATCTTTCAAAAGGTTGAGTTTTTGGAACTTAATTCAATTTCTTTAGTTTAACAAAATCATATGATCTTTGGGGACTAATTTTAGCTCTGGAGTCTAATATATATCATATTTCATCGTATGCGCATATATAATCATGTCTAATATATAATCATATCGCACATTTTTGAAGAGCTGTCCAACTTTATTTTAAACAATGAGTAATCCGCTTAATAAAACCAGGGAGCAGAAATGTTTTCAAATAACCTCGGTTTCCGAATCCGAACTTCAAATAAGTAGAGATTGTGCCAGCAAGGAGGCAGTACAACAAGGCCGAATTACAATATTGCCGGAAAAAAATGTTGTTCAACAGTGCCAAAAATTATCCGTTTTTGGGCACTGTTGAACACTTTTCTGTTTCGGCACTGTTGACTGCCACGATCGCCAGTCAATTTAATCAAGATTCGGTCGCTAGGGCTTAGAAGTCTGGTTGCTGCGCAACGCTAAATCATTATTTATCCGACTATTTAAAATGAGGAGGAACTTTGTATTCGGGTGTGTTTTTGTTTTTTCTTTCTTTTTGTTTTCCAAGCAAAACCAGGTACCACAAATAATCAACAGACTGAGTTGAGTGGTATACCCTTACAGCCGCAAAAACCCTTACGGTCGTGATTCAAATCACATTAAAAAGTTCAAAAAAGTTTTCCCAGTGTCGAGAAAAACCGATTTAAAACTTTTGTTCTTTGTTATAATTTCGAGCTAATAAGGTGACCGTGTAGGCTTACAATAGCTTAATTAAGCTTAATTTAAGCCGTGAAAATTTAGTTTTTTTTCAATAAAGGTAGTTTTTAGAGTTTTTAAGCGCAATTTTAGGAATCAAAAACTTGAAAATTCAAAAAAAATTGCAAAAAATTTGAAAGTTTTGAAAATTTTTCAATTTTTTTTTGCATTTTTCGATTCATTTTTCTTTGAAAGCTGTTTTTCAGTTGAATCATTTTACTATGACTCTCAAATATGCCTATGTTCTATTTTTTTGTTCGAATCTTTTTATCACAACATGCAGAAAAAAAACGACACCAATTTGAAAAAAAAACGACACCAAAACGGCACCTTTTTTTATTTTAAAAGGCTGCGGTCGGAACATTCTGTACTGCTTGCACAGTAACCGGCTATCCTTGTTTCTTTACCAAATTTTTTATTTAGTTATTATGACGAACTGCTCTGCGGCGAATTTTCGCTTCTTTAAATGCTACCAATTGTCACCTTACGTGCCAGCAGTTATGCCCTATTTATTATTCATAGCCATATATTGAACTACTTCACGTGGGTTTCTCCTTTTAGATTTGGAGTTTGTGTGTCTCCGAAACTGCGATAAAATGCGAGACCCCTCAAACTCTCCCGGTGCGCATCATGGTTCCGAAGCAACTGAGTCGGGAGGAGCAGGACTTCAACCTCGTAGACTTCATCAATTTCTGCTGCTGTGACCTCGTGCGTCTCTCAGTGGCCATGGAACCTTCCATCACAAGGCCACTGTGTGGCGTAATAACTGAGATGATAGCCGAGAAGCCAAAACTATGTGAACAACATGTCATTTCAACTTTGATCCAGTTCGACCTGCACAGAAATCTGACCAATTTAGCCTCTCGTGTTAAGAAAAGTAAACGTTATCATAATCAGGGCTTCTATTTTTGCGTTACTTTGGTATAAAATTTCTTTGACGCTCATTTTGAAGCAAGATTTTGAGCGTAATTGTCTAAAAAAACCGCTCAAACCGCTCAAATCTTGCTTCAAATTAGGTGAAAAATCTCGACTCGGGCCAGCATTTTTAGGACTTAATCAAAAACTCCATTTAAATTTTTTGATCTCTCGGTGTTTTGAAATTTCTATGATACTACTTTCCAGAGTCGTTTCTTGTTTCGATTGTGGACATAAATAGTTTCTCTGGAACTGATTATCATCTGGATATGTGCCTTTGTAGTCCATTTTCCCATTTTTTATTATTGGTTTCCTGTCTTGTCGTGTTCCAGACTTCTACGACAGGATCAACTCGGATGGGTTCGGGAGGGAGAAGAAACAGAACGTGGACGAGATGAAGTCACGACTCAAGATACTCCTGGAAAGACAACAACTCAACATCCACAGCGGGTACAAGACAATCATACCTTTTTTAATGAGCTTTCTATTGATCTTATCGAACTGAACAAAAAACATTTCATTCAAAAAACACTGCAGCAAATAAGAAACATAGGTTGGTGCATTAAAAGTTGAACGTGCCATTTGCAAGTAGCAATTCTTGGTGTCAGGACAAAAGATACCACACCAAAAGCTCCCATGATAAAAGATACCGTACCAAAAGATGGGATGGGATCTTCTCATTTGGGATCTTAAGGTAAGGGATCTTTTGCCATGTAACCGTAATTCTTACTTTGACCGTCATCTTTTGCATACTTGTTTCAGTGACGACATGTCTCCTCGGTCCAGCTTCCTTGCAACTACTCTTCGACTCAGCTTCCTCATTGTTAGTTCAACAAAGTATCACTCAAGATTTTATTTTATAATCCTCAGTATGCAATCGCCTATGGTGAATTTTAGCGAATTTGGTTGCACTAGGTTGCCTGGTGCAAATAGACGACTTCTAAAATTACTGAAAGTCGTCGCTTGAGACAAATGGTCGTTATGTCAAAAAATGCCAAAATGCCTCCGTACCTTGTGTCTGAAACTCGATTTAACTAATTTAAGAAAATATTCGGCTTAGGATAATCAAGCTTTATGTAACGCCATTTTGTTCATTTTTATAATACATCATCTTTACTGCTTGGCAGAAGTTCTACAGTGCCGAAGACCAAGTTCAGTACCGCATGTTCCAAGACCTCTACTTGCGCCAGATGATCAAAGTGCTAGCCGAGTCAGACGTCGGCTCGGAATCCGACATGAACTTCTACAAAGCCGAGATTGCCCAGTGTTACGTCAAACTAGCCGAACTGTCAGAGAAGATGAATCCAAATTCGGGACAAGATGAAGGAATCGAGAAACTGGAACTTCTGGAACAAGCAGCGATTCATTTCCATAAATCAGGGGTTGGCGAAACTCGAACATAACTATTATAAGAAATTGTAGAAAAAAATTGAATTTTTCACATTCTCAGTCAAGAAAATGAATAAATGGAGTTTCCACTTTTCGAACATTTCCTAAACTCACAAAAAAGTTCATATTAAAAGTAGCCCCGCGATCAATCAAGGTGGCGTACAAACTAAGATGACAGCAAGTCTGCTCACGGGACAGCTTATATGATGAGAGCGAAGGTCAGGCTGAGAGCGTTTTTAAGTTGTTGTTGTTTGATTGCAGCGCCTGGTGCAAGCTGAGAAGATATTCCATGAGGTTGAGGAGGCCTACAGGTCCAAGTGGATGCTGAAGAGACTCAAAGCCATTCGGGTAGACAATCCTTCAATGCACTTCAACATTTTAACACACTCGCTGCGCATTTTGCTAATCAAATGTCGTTTAATAAGCTTGATCAAAAAAGGAAACGTTTATCTGTGATTTGAACAGGGTGAAACTTTCAAATAACTTTAACCTACAAGTTCGACTGAATTGGAAATCATTTTGCAACAGCACTTGTTTCTTGTTCGGTCGAATTTTTTGTGGATATATTCATTTCTCTGTGAGCCCTTGGTTTTTTAATCCTTAAAAGTGTCATTACAACAGCCGGCAATCGACTACAAGGTAACAGCAACCCTTGGAAAAAAGCGTATTACTCGCGCAGCTCTCGTGGCATAATTATAACAAATTTATACTCCCCTGAGCACCGCGAACAATTTAATTTGGCATGCTTAAGTATCTCTTCTCTCTTGCTTGCAGCCAGGGGCAGATCTAGGATTTTCTCGAGAGGGGGGGTATTTCAAAAAAAACAAAAATTGATATTCCGAGCTCGTGTTGAAGCCGAATAAAGATACTATTTTCACATAAATTTTTGACCAAAAAGTTGCGTTTTTCCGGCGCGCGCTACCCCTCAAAGTTTATATTTATTTGCGCCAAAAGCTCCTTAGGAAAATTTAAGGTCTGTCGGTCCAAAAAAGATGTCGGATAGGAGGACGCTTTGGATGGTTAAGGTATCGAATCCTTAACCTCTAAATCCATCCCACCCCTCCCCTAAATCCATCCTGCTTGCAGCCGCATCAACTGATTCTTTTACCCCTTCCTCAGAACAAAAGCTGAAACAATGTAAAAACCGTAGAGGAATCATTGAATTAGACATACGCAATGCTTCCCTTCTGAAATGAACGAGCTACAACTTTAGCATTAAAATCTGGCTTTTTCCGTTTCCTCCCACCTGGCATAAGCAGTTTCTGGTCGTACAAAATCAACGAGCAATACCAGCAATTGTGTTAACGACCTCCTAATTATTTTTTTTCCCTTTAAATGTTTTTTTTTTACAAAACGGGCACTGTGAGAAGAAAATTTACAAAAACCTTGCAAGCGGGAAAAAGAGCTTGCAAGGTTTTGCCAAAAATTTTCAGTGAAAGCTCAAAAGCTCAAAATAGTGGGAAAATAATTTGATCCATCCACTTCTTCGCTATCTCTATAAAAAAAATTCGCTAAGTTCAATTTTATTTGTCTACTTTTGACCATCTAGAGCAGTTTGGACGAACTGTACGAGTCAGTGATTGACGGGGATGCTGAGAACAAAAGCACACCAGTGGCTTCCGAGTGGTACTACTATGTCAGACTATACGGCACTCTACCCTCCGCTGTCAAGGTCTCTTGCTCTTGGCTCTTTTTCTCACATAAGCATCAATTTTATGGTGTAACGAGGGGTTTTACAAGAACACCAAACATGTTTATCATAGCCTAATTAGTTCGCATGCCAATTTTTGTAATATTCAGAGATAAAGTGAACAAAATTTTACGAGTAAAAACTGGAAGGTTGAGAAGGGGGGGGGGGAGGGGAGGGGAGGAAAAAGAGCCTGTAATAGAATGTAACGAAAACACCTGTATTTTTGGACTCCGGGTAAACTAAGGTTGAATGTATGTCAAAAGGTGTATCAACACTCCCCCTCCTGATTTAGGTGCTGATCTCGAGGTAGATTGACTTTCCAAAAAGATTTCTTAAGGTCGACCGAATTGATTTTCGAGCTCTTTTAAAAAGCTATAAGGACTACAGACTAGAAAATGTTCACGAATAAACATGCGGTTAGTTTTAGTTTTTTTATTTAAAAGATCCAACCATTTCTCTGGTTGAGTCTAATTAACACCGGTAACATTTTTTTTCAAAGAAGTGCACATATTTCTTCTGAATGTTTATTCTTTTTTTACTGGCACAATAATTTGACCAAAAGTTCTTCAATTTAATTACCTTTAAATTTCAAAAAACGGTAGTTGATCTATTAGTCATTTTAGGACAATGCGTTCATCATTCGGATGCCGACTTCGGTCGAGGTGAGCGAGACAGCCCGCGAGATCAGCCGCATTTTCCCCAACATCCAACGACAGAACATCGGATCCGACCCAGAATCTCCCAACCTCAGTCCCGACAAGAAATGTGAGTTCTAGCAGGCGACTGTTAACCAAATATAACCACTTATTGAGGTATTTCTGGAAAGGGATTGCATGCGATGTAATTGAACGAATTTTATGGAAAGTTTTTGAAGCACATGTTAAAGTCTGGTCACATGTAAACTGTTCTAGTTTCCTTAATTTTTTCCGGACTCGGCAAATTCGGCTGTTTTAGGGCAATTTTGAGTGATACAGTGTTTTAGCTATTTTTTCGTGAAATCTAAAACAGCAAAAAGATCTGAGAAAAATAGACGTGCAGCGGATTCCGCAACAAATCTGTTTTCAGCCTGTCGCAAAACCCGCTCACAATTCACAAAATACGCATTTTGGCCACGTTATGGTAATCAGATTTTTATGGTGGAAACTTAACAATCTTTTGAAGTGGTTATGAAAAAAAATTAAAATTGGCACAAATAGCTTGCCTTTGTATAGTATACTTTTGAAATTCATGAAACGACGATTTCAGATTTCCAGATATCTCTGACTGAGATGAACAGCATAGACGGCGCCAAAGAAAGTTTGATGGTCAGACGGAGTCAGTTGAAGCACAGCAGGACCAACGAATCAATCATTTATGATGCCGGTTAGACATCTCTTGACCAAAATATTGAGCGATGCAAATTTGGTAGTTTATTAAAGAATTAATATCAAAAGTATTTGTTTTTGCGAAATTCCAAAAGTTTTGTCTGAATTATTTAAAAAGAACTATCCACAATAAAATGGACCAACGTATCAGCTGCTCAGCTCTTTATGCAGTTGCTTTTATGTCCCTGCTTAATAACTACATGCATTTTTCGGTTATTTATATGTGCTGGGCAATATGGCCCGAACCTCAAGCGGCCTCAAAACTTTTTGTTGGCCAACTTCACCGCCGCTTAGTCACCTGGTCATCTAGTCCGCTTTTCATCCAGAGTAAGAAAAAATGCTTCATGTGATTCAGCCAAACTGTCTTCCTCCAAGTTCTACTCTAGTTTGAAGACGACGGGAGGGAACAGTGACTTTGACGAGACGACTACCTCTTACGGACACGTAATGGCTTCTTTGTCCGCCAGATCTGAGGCTTCCACATTCATGGTCAAGTGGGTCCAGCCACATGACAACACTCTCGTATGTTCTTACAATCATTTTTAAATTGTTGTTCTCTTATTTCGTTGTTAATTTTTGCACTGTTGTTGGGACCCTTGATATTGATAAGGAACTGTAGGTTCAGGTATGTCGACCAAAAACGTTTTTGACCTCTCTAGAAGCGCCAAAATTTCCCAGTTTAGAAAAAGAAAAATTCTGTGGTTGGTTTGTTGACCGACAATGGATGTCGCAAAATAGAAGAATAGTTTTATTAAGTACCTTTTTTCTAAAAGTGAATGAGTGTATACTATTTAAGTTAAGCTTGCAAGTTTTTCACTTACTTTTTTTGTGATTTCAAGTTAAGTTTTATATTTGGTTCTTTGGAGAAACTCAATTAATTGAGGATAAAACAATAAAATGTAACATTTAAACAAAAAGTATTCTATTCCAAATTGTCAGTGGTCGGAATTTTTTGTGCTGCGTTACTAGCAACTGTCAATCGTTGCATCTTTTTTCTCTAATTTTCGTAAACACAAACAGCGAAATTTTTTATCTGCTTTTCGACTGCCTGGTCAAAAATCATGAGCCTGTCGTCTTATCTTTTATTCTTATGTTTCATTCATTGAACTTTCAAGCTAGCAGTTGATAGAAAGATGCCTTAAAAAAGAGATTTTTAAAAAATAAATGAGATAAAGTTTTATTTTCAGGAGCAGAAGATAGTAAAGTTGATTCTGAAAGTGGATCCTGCTTTCCCATATATCTCTCCCTGGAACATGGTCACTTCTTCAGAACAGGTAAGACAAAAAAACATTTATAGCGATAATAATCGAATTAAAAAGCGCCTATCAATTTAATCAAATCACCTCCTCTGAAGCGAAATAGGTGAAGTAAATGATCTCCCTTTTAATCTGGAAAATGTACCACTCGTCTTTTTATACCTGCTTAATTAAAGTTTTTGATTGGGGGCAAAAGTATAAGAAAGAAGTGAATTGATTGTGGAAAACTGCAAACGAGTGATGATTTGTGGCTCCTCGGATACTTCAGTGTTCTGTGTGTGATTAGAAGACAGAGTCTGGACTGGTGTTGGCCATGGATTTCCTGGCCGACTCGATCCACAGTCTCAAAGTGGGGGTGGAGGAGGTGAGGAAGCACAGGAACATAGAGAGACACAAGGGCGTCTTCAGGAGCATCATCTGCTCACCCGTGCAGGGAGGGGTGCAGATGTATTACGTGGGTCCTATCTTCTTGACTATCGCCCATGCCCCCTCTCCCCCTATTGTACCTAGTAACCTATGAATAACACATTCAACGGTTAAGCAAAATTTTGTACCTTGTGATGAAAATCTGCTCTTTTTGCAATCGGGAAAGGGGATAGTTAAACAACAGGGAGGGGGATGGTATGCTTTAAAAATATTCCGTGTTACCTATCCCCTACATGACAAAATAATCAGATGAATTACAATGAATTACTCAAACTGTCTAAAACTGATTCACTACTAAACCAATTTAATTCATTTAAAGCACGTTTAAGCAATCGCCATAACTTCAAAAACTTCGAGGGGGAGGGGGGGAGGGGAGGGAGGTGTCGCATAAAACTCATACTTTTCCTCTCGCCTAATTGAAGGTTTTCAAGATTTGGCAAACTAAATAAGAAACCCGTGAATGCAAAATTGCACAAGATTAATTCGTTTTAAGGATATTGATTTTTGCTGTTATACTCTTCTCTCGCTCGATTAAAACACGATTTATGCATCTGAAACAGGTATAGAATATGGAACAAACTAATTGCACTTTGATTTGTCTATTTCAGGCGATTGCAGACGATGATTACGTGTCCAAATTTGACCCGAAGGAAGTGCAGAAGATGAGAAATATGTGCTCAACACTTGTAAGAACAAATTTTTCATTTTAATAAAGTTTCTGGGAAACAACTAACAACATCACCATTTTTAGGCATTTTTATTTAAGCAGAAGCAGATTTGGGGGGGGGGGGGGGGGGGCGATTCGACCCCTTCACCAATCGAAGAGTTCCCTTTAGTTATTATAGTACGGCATCAATTTTTAGCTAATCGACTTTAAAATTTTAATTGTTTTGCTTTTTTTGAAAACTTCTATTGTCTCGCATAATAAGATCTTAATAGAGCTTGGAAGAGCTAGGAAAATCAACAATTTGGTCATTCTAAAAATCGTTTTTAAAAGTCTCCCCCTCCCTCGAAAATATCCCAGGTTCGCGTTTGAACTTCATTAAAGGGTTTCAAAGCATGTTTAAGCCTTTCAGTAGTTTCAACTGTAGACGAATCATTTGTGTGGCTTTTCTCTTTTTTTGTTCCGACCATTGAAAATGGGGACGAACTTTGGATTCGGGTGAGGTTATTTTTTTTCTTTTCTTCCACTTATAATCAACTACCACAAATAATCATCGGACAGGGTTGAGTGATGAATCATAATAAGCCCTTTTAGTCTTGATTTGAACGACATTAAAAAATTTCAAAAAATTTTAAGTGTTGAGAAAAACCGGTTTGAAGTTTTTGATTTTTGGTCTAATTTCGAGCTAATTAGTGAGGTAGTTAATAATTGCACTAGCTTATTTAAGCTAAATTTAAGCCGTGAAACTTAGTTTTACTAATTAAAAGTTTGTTTTTGGAGTTGTTTAGCGCAATTTTTGGAATCAAAAAATTGAAAATTCAAAAAATTTCCGGAAAAAATTTTTGAAACATTTTTCAAATTTTTTATTTCGCTTTTCTAGTCATTTTCTTCAAAAACTGTTTTCCAATTGACCTATTTTGCTATGACTCTCATTCCTTGTTTCAATCCTTGCTATCCTCGTTTCAATTTAAAGTTGGTTTGAAAACGTTTTTGAACAAAAAACTGAGCTTGAAAACCTTTAAGAAACCAGGGCATAATTGCGAGTTTGAATACCGACCGACCATTTGAGCCTTTTTGGGGCAGTTTATGTTTCTTATTCTAACAGTGATTTATATATTAGCCAGCATAATACACATTTAAGAAACGTGGTAATTCAACCTCAGCTCTTCGGGTAAAAAAAAAACAGATTCAGAAAGAAAAATAGAAAAATGATTTTAACAATCACTATTGCATGTTTCAGATTGACAAGCTAGTGGACTTCATGAGTGCCATGAAGCCCCACTTTGTGAATGACGAGAGCATCTACAACGAGTACCTCTTCGACGCAAAGTGTCTTTTTAAACATGTATGTAACACTGTTGGAAGGGGAAAGTTTGCTCACATTTGCTCTCATTAGTTTTTACAAAATCACAAAGGCTTTTCAACACTGATATTGAGGTATATATCATATTGAGGTTCATGAATACTATAACTTTAAGAATGAAATAATTATAGTATTCATGTATTATAGAACTATAATTAGAACTATAAAAAAACGAAGAAAAAAAACTATAATTTTTTGACGTTCATGAAAATAGCTATACTTTTTCAAGAGCATGAACAAAGATCCGACTCCATTGCTGCGCATATAGATTATCACTCATTCTGTGCTATCATAGCACCAGATGTCCAAAAAAAATTGCGTTTAGCAGGACTAAATCCTGGAAGTTTTAGTAATAAGCAAAAGTTCGAACGAAGTGAACAAGCTGATCTCAATGAAGAGCAGCACAAAACTTTCTTTCCATTGTCATTTTGAAATCTTAGGCGTCGCTGCAGTTTGACGAGCAGAAGAGAGAATTAGTCTACTGGCTCCTATGTCAGAAACAGACCATGCGCAGACTGGATCTGACTCAAACTGATTTACCCACATTCGAGACGAAGGATGCTGTGAAACAGCGGAAGCTCCTTCGAGGACTCGCGACATATCTGGAGGACCTGCTCATCAAGGGATTCGAGAACTTCGATAGTCTTTCAAAGGTACAGTCACAGTATGCTAGACCCAAAACATCGCATATTTTGAAGAAAATAATATTGCAACCCGTTCGTAGATTACAGTTGATAATTTCAGGGCATACAATACTTCAAATAATTGCATGGTCAGCAATATCGCCCACAGGATATTTCACCAATATATAACTTTGTCCATCTACAAGAATGAACTGTTGATTTCTTAGGATGGCCCTATTGTCTTTCAAATAAAGTGTTAAATTAAACGCAATGGTTAAAGTTTCCCACTGAGTAAAGAATAATAAAACACATTCGCAATTCACACCCAAATAAATAGAAAAGCAAGTGCTGCACACATACTTTTTCAGCATTTTGTGAAAATTTGAATCCTCCTATCAAAAACTGACTCTAGATACCCACAAAATAAAATATAAAAAAAAAATCTTGCCCGAATATTTAGAATATTACATAGCTCACTAAACACCAGCAACAGTAACCAAACTAAGGAAAAAGCAACTAATAACCAAAAATTGAAGAAAAAAAATGAAACTTATTTCTGTGAACAGACAGCCCGGAGCTCTCTGACGAAGTTTTTGTTCCCTATCAACCTCTACCCTCACAGCAACATCGCGAGCAAGTCAAACATACCGTCATCTCCCAGATGCTCTATATTGTTGAATGAAAACTAAGTTCTTAACGACCAAAACCCTAGACCCCTGAAGGTATCCAATCAAAAACGACCAAACCCCGGACGATTTTCCGAAAAGTGTGAAATAATTTATAGCGACATGACAACACGACATCCCATCCACCATTAACAACATCGGCGGTCTCATTTGCGATAAATAACTGGACTAAGTATTATAATATTAGAGCAAGCTGCGTGTCACTTTTGAAAACGACCAATGACGCTCAGTTTTCTCAAATGCTCAAATGAATTATACCTCTCTCTGGAATTCTCTGACGGACCAACCGGCCATTGTTTCATAATTTTTTTTCCGGCGGAAATCGCATATGAACACTGTACACAGCCTTCTTTTGTTGAGTGACACATACCCCTGACTCAAATACTGCTAAAAAGTTAGAACCAGAGACTACAAATTTCACAAAGTCTTTAAGATATCGAGCAAATAACTAATACCTCAATGCTGCTTATAAATTTTGACTACTTTGACTAGTTAGACCAATTTTACACAGAAAAGAATAAAAATAACTTTTTACCTTTCTATAGATATTTCGGTTCCAAGGAAAAAAGTAGGATCAACATCAGTTTTAGACAAAAAAGTTGCGCGAATCTATCCTGTGTAATGAATCAAAACTACTTTGAATAACAATTTTAATCTAATTTCATTTTAAAGGATGTTCTGGCCAAAAAAACAGGCAAAGACAAATGAAAAAACTGTCATGATCTACGTTTGAAAAAAAATTTACAACGTAACTTTAATAACTTTTTTTTTCAAATTCAAACTGAAGTATGCCTCACATATCTTGCAAGCACATGATTTAAAAACTAGATATGTATCAAACTTTGCTAACTCAAAAACTAAAAATCAAATCATGTAGCTGTCAAGTCGAAAGGCTACTCTTATCATCTATAATTTTTGCAATCTTTTTTTGACAAGCATGTAAAATTGCTAATGTAGCCCGGAGGTTGGATAATACATGCTGTGTGATATAAGTTTGCAAGTCAACAAATAAGGTTATTTCAATCGAGGCTGGTTTCTACACAATATATATTATAATTTTTAAATCTAAGGTAATTGTGAGAGTTATAAAATATATGAGTACAAAAACCCAAAGCTTTTGTTAACTGGTACTTTTTCAACTAAATATCATGAATATTAATAGATTTCGAGTTTTTTTACGATTCTTAGAGCATTGTTCTTTTTTATCTTTCTAAAATTCTTAGAGATAAACCATCCCATTTCTTGGCACATATTCCTGCGATAAAAATTCAGTTGAGTAATTTCTATAAACTATAAATCTATCCAGTATTTTCGTTTTTCGATTTTGTTGCATAAAAATTTTTCAGTAAAGGATTTGTGTTTTCAGTAAACAGATCAAAATTTTTCAGCCAAAAAAAAGTTTGGTAGGAATAACTCAGCAGTAAGTTTTTTTTTCAAAAATAGATCAAAGCATCTGTAAATTTTTTTTCTCACGAAGCATACTTCTAATCACTAGTTTATATGGCGATTTAAGCGATCGACCTTTTTTTTGCTGAAAAAAATTGTATTATAACTAAGATAGGATAAAACTAAGGATTTCAAAAAGAAACGATGAAACTCCAGGTTGTTGGAAATAGTTAACTGAGCACATCTAAAATTAGTTTTTTGAAAACATATATTTATTTCATAACGATATGAAATATTTGTTCGAGTTAATTATTATTTTGTGTACATGATGTCATATTTTAATTACTAACACTGATAGAAAAAATTTTTTAGGAAACGCGGTTCAAGCCGGATAGTATCTCATAAATATTGATTAGGGTTTTTCAGGGTCATGCCACGAAAACCCGTTGTTTTTTGCGTGATCCTTTGTGAGTTCGTTTGTACAAGCAGTCTCACTATCTAATTGGATTGAATTTTCTCCTAGACAAATATAAAATATCCCCATAAATAAGAAAACCGTTTGCATTATGGTTTTCAACTTTTTTGTGAGAACTACGCTATTTTTTCCGGCTTAAAATCATTTATTTTGTTTTTGTTGTTTCAGATGTGCAGCGGCGTGAAGAGTTCTTACAACCCAATGGGGTGTCCATCGCAAACGAGCGACGAACTACTGTGGGACAGTATCATAGTCATTCTCTCCAGATTCGATACACAAACTAGACAAGTGAGCATCAATATCAAACAGGGCAAAAACGACTAGTTGTAGTTCAGTTTCGTGCTCACGTATTTTTGACGAGTTTTTGGTCGACCTTGAAAGTTTTGTCGACCTTTTATTTTAATTCAGCCAAGTTGAAATTTTTGAGCGTTACTGTTTTAGAGTACCATTTGAAAAGTTTTGCCTGAAAAATTGAGTTTTTCGGCCTTGCGCTCCCCTGTAAAAATCAGTGTATGATGGTCCCCATGATGCCTTTAGAACATTTTAGTGCTTAGTCAGAAAGATCGTCGTAAAATGGGGCAAAAGGTCAACCCTGGAGTTTCTTGAGAAATTAACGATTATAAAGGATTGCCAAGCCAAAAATAGTTCCATTACAATGGATTATAAATACTTTTCTAGACCTTGATTGGTGTGGGGGGGGGGGGGGGGGCAGGGTCAAGTGCGGGAAACGATGTTAATGAGAGACAATAGAGGCACCCTCCATCATGGCTACTTTAAGCTGAATGAGTTTTTGCTTGCCATTCAATTCATCAAATTTCATATTGTTAAAAACATAAAAACCCGATTTTCTGGTCCGTTAAAACATTATTCTTGGTTACAACTCCCCCCCCCCCTAAATTTTGGTTGCAAAATTTTTCCCAATGGTCCCAACTTACGAGATCCATTTTACGAGATCAATTTTTGGCCGGCCAACATCAAAAATTTTCTAAAGGCGTTTTTGGCGCCTATATTAATAACTTTGATGGAAAGCTCGTGCCGAACAAACGAAATATTTGGTGAATTTTTTCCAGAATGTGCCTAAAACGCCTTGCCGTATTTTTTTGAAAAACTGCCCCCCCCTCCCAAGAAAAATTTCTGCGCACGTCACACGCCACTGCGTCAGAAGCTAGCTTTTTTCTTCATCTTTTTAAAACTTTCAGCATCTCCAAAATTGGGGGCTAATGTTGAAATTTTGCGACAAAAAAAGCTTCTCAAATATGGTCTAGCAGGGGCGGATTTAGGGGGTAGGGGGCGGGGGGGGGGGGGTCGCGGACGCCTCCCCTTTCAGGGATTCGACACCCTGCCGACCCAAAGGGTCCCCCTTGTAAGAAAAGCATTTCTGGCCGACCGACCGTAAAATTTTTCTAAAGGCGCCGTTGGCGCCAATATATACTAATTTTGAGGGGAGCGCGCGCCGAATAAACGCAATTTTTGAGTTAAAATTTTCCAAAAAATGCCTGAAAACGCCTTTTTTGGACTAATTTTACAAAATTTTGCCTGCCTACGGCGCAGAAAATTTGGCCAAAACACGGACTAAACCGGGCTTAGGGAGAGCTCGAAAAATAATTTCGGTTCGGTCAACTTAAAAAAAAAGTCGACATTTTCGAAAATTTTTGAAAATCCGCCCCCCCTCGAGAAAATCCTAGATCCGCCCCTGTGGTCTAGCTTTTTTAAGTTGCGGCCAAAAACTGCGGCCAAAAATTTATCTGATCTTATCAGAAGAGTGATTTTGTAATTTGAGGTGGCCAGTATTTTGTCAGTAATGTTTGTCAGTAGTATTTGTCAGTAGTTTTTGTCAGTAGTATTTTGTCAAAAGTACTTTGTAGCGAATTTAAAGGGTAAGGAAAGTAGGCGGGCGCAAAAATGTTTCGAAAAACCTCCCCTTGAGAAAATCGTAGATAGGTGGATTTTTCGTGGATGTGCTACAATGATAACAGAGCTAAAAATTAAAAGCGAAAGCAGCTCAAAAAAATATGTTAAAAATGTATCTCTTGACCTGTTATCGTAAATTTAAATATATCAAAAAATGAGTATTTTGATTCAATCGAGCAAGGGCGAATCTAGGATTTTCAGGAGGGGGGAGTGGGGGCAAATTTTCAAAAAAATTTCGATAAGTCTTACGACCTTATTTTTTTCAGGTTGGCCAAACTGATTTTCCGAGCCTTCCCAGAACATTAAAAAGACGCTATTTTCACTAAACATTTTGCGCCGCAGTCAAATTTTTGAAAATACAGGTCAAAAAAGCCATTTTTGACCACAATTTGGAAAATTTTGACTGTAAAAAAAATGCGTTTTTTCGACGCGCGCTCCACTAAAAAATTAGTATATATTGGCGCCGAAGAAACATTTTTTAGTGTCGGTCGGCCTAAAATAGATGTCATAAAGTAATACCAAAAGGGGGACCTTTTGGTTTGTGAGGGGGTCGAACTCCTAAGATTCGATGGCGTCCCCCTATATTCGCACCTGCAATCGAGAAAAACAGCAAAAAATATGTAACCTTTGTTTTATAATCAGCCCTTGATAGTTACAAAAAATAATAATCTTTTTTGAACTCAACAGGAGTTTTTTCACTAAAAAATATAACATTTACTGAGACAAAAAGCCAATTCAAAATTTTACTAACATTGTAACTGACACTCAAATGGACAAGCTATTGGACTCGTCTACAAGAGGAAGATAATATGGATCTACTTAACAATCGCCCTCCCTATGGTACCTACTACGGAATTGCCAATCGGGTTGCGTTCACCATGAAAATTAGCTATAAAAAGTTTAGGAAAAAACAGCGATTGCCCTTGATGAAATATCGATGTTCATTGCCACAATAGCAGAATTTATCGATAGATTATCGCTAACTTGGCTAATTTTCAGCGATGAAGCAGCGATAAAACATCTATCAAAATGAGCCAAACTATGAACTACTGGGGTTCGCTTCCTCAATCTTCAGCTTAGTAGACATGTATGCTACCTCTTTAGCGCTGATTTTCTACGGAATCATTACTGAAATAGTTTTAAAATATCGCAGGTTCAGCTATGCAAAAAAGTTTAAACTTTACATGAATCAGCACAGGAAAATAGCTGGCACTGAGATACTACGAAAAAGACGATAAATAACGGCGGGTCTTCAAACCGGGCATCCCTTTGAATAAAATCAGGAAATTTCCACTAGAGCTTTTTATGTAAAATTCGAACTTTGCTGCATTCTGATTGTTCGAAAGTTCTACTAACTTAACCTATTTAACAATTGCCTCCCTTTCTTGAAAGTAGTTGGAGTAATTGTTAAGTAGATCCGATAATATCAAACCTGGACAAGGATAGTTGGTAAAATAAATTAAAAAACGTAAGTAACGTTCAAACTGCATGCTGATTGAAAGTGTTCCAGTCCGGGAAGATTTCTCTGAAAAACGAAAGAGTTCAGATCAATTTGAAGTTGTTTTTTTTAGAATTCATATGACGACTCAAAAGACTTTAATAAGACCCTCTATGAAGTTTCTCTAAAATCTTCAATAACAGCTGTGCTTTCAGTAAAAACGAATAATCAGTAAAGCAAATTAGGTAATAGCGAAATCAATTGCAGAATTAAAGATTAAGAGAATAAGTTTTTCCTGAGCTAGAACTAAAACTTAAAAATTGTGGGCCCCATGGTAAGAGCTATTGTATTGAAATTGATGTTTCAACTTCTTAGACAGAAAAAGTTGTCGTATTGAACAAATCTCAGTTATCAATTCATATATTACTTAATTGAATAACATGTTTTCGGTTTACTGATGTGGTCCGCCAGTTTTAGTTTTTCTGATATATCGATTTGCTGACCTACCTAAAATTGACTAGAAAACTCGAGATTACTTCTTAGCTCCTTCCTACACTTTCGAGAGTGGTTGCAACAAATAGTTACCTGGTATAAGACTACTCACCATTTTGAATTACCTCTTAGATTTTATCTTCTTTGATTATCGCAAAAAGTTTTCGTTGCACCAAGTAAACACATTCAACCATTTTTCTTGTCAATCATTCAAAGAATTCAATGAAGATTTCATAAGAAGGATTTTTGATTGGTTTTGTGAGCTCCCTGAAAAACGATCTGAACAATGTTTGATTTCGCAATTTTTTCTAAACCTAGATGGAAAAAACAACAATTTACTTTATACATTTAAAACTGATCATTTTGAAACGACGACCAGGCATAACGGAAGAAAGTTTTTTTAATTATATATTTTTTTCGCTGCTCGCGTTCGACTTGTAGGTTTATTAGGCGACTCCTAGGCTGTTAGTGAGATATGACTTTGCAAACTATTGGGTTGTAAATGACAAAGGTTAGCTTACTTTAGTTGTTAGTATTCATCATTGGAATAACAAAGTATACTAAATCTTAGGGGGCCCAATTACTTTGAGCGCTATCAAAAAGTAGACATGACATATAGCAGACACGCCGTAAGCCAATCAGAATCGAGATGAGAAAAAAAAACGTTACAAAATGTTTTTTTTTCTCGATTCTGATTGGCTTATATCTTGATTACGACGTGTCCCACCTACTTTTTGACTTGTTTTCGTTTTACTACATAACCGATCTACTAGCATGCGGCTACTAGTGTACATAGAACTAATTTTACTCTCTTACATTTATAACTAAAACTCAAGAAATTTATGAAGGAAATTGTGTGTTTCTAGATTGGAGATATCACTCCCTTCACTGCAGCTTTCAGCGACGTCTATCTCAAAAGACTGGAATTCGAACACGAAAACACAAAGCAAACCATCCTGGACAATCTCAACACAATCAAAACAAACTTAAAACTGTTCGAATGACGTCCGTTCTTCATTAAAAACATTTATATTTATACTACTTTCTGAACTATCACATATAATTTATCAGTTTTTGAAAAATAGTCATTTTCTTCAATTGATTTAAAATAATAAAAGACCAATCAGATTTTTTCACTTTTACTAATATACTTAACATACTAGCAAACAAGTAGCTCAAAAAATTTCGAAAACTTATTTTTGGAAAAATAATGTTTAGTTTTTCCAAACTTGATCTTGGTTTCGTTCGTACGGGGAGAGGGACTGAAAGTGAGCTTAGAGCCTTGGCAATAGTTTTTGAGTGCTAGCTAAATAAAACGACAAGACATAAAGACGACATGACAATGAGACGACAAATGAGAGCTAAAATATGTAGGTTGAACACTTTAAAACCAAAGTCTTTAAAACCAACCATAAACGGTTGTCATCTTAACAGCTTTCTTCCTATTTACTCGACATCAAGTAAATGTTAAAATGCTGCCATCATCGTTGTAAAACGAACAGTAGCGCATGACAACATGGCTATGTTTTAGCTTGTTTAAAAAGTTTTTTTTTGGCCGACTATTCTTCGAGAGAGCTTTCAAAATTCATTTTTAACAGCTAAAACCGGTTTTGGAAAACTTAACTAAAAAAATTTTATGCCAATTTTTTAAACCAGTTTTCTGCTGGTTAAGCAGTAAAAATGTTCCAATAATAAGTATCAGTGCAAAAATTAGTTTAAAATTGAAAGACGTTAAAGAAAACACGTTAACATTTTAAAAGGTAGGTCAAACTTTTTCTAGTTTTGTTTTGATTTAGAAAGTCTGCAGCCAAGCTGGCATATCAAAACAGTTTAAGGCATATCATCTAACAATTCGTATTTGAAAAATGGAAATTTGTTTTTTTTTTTGAAATTTATAGTTATTTTGCTCTTTGCTAGGGTTTGATTCTTGACCGAAAGTTGGGGGCAGTTTTCTTCGATACTCGAAAACAATTGTTTTTTCTCCAATCTTAATTATTGATAGGCTGGATTTTTTGATAGGCTTAGACTTGAAAAAACATTTTTTATCATCAAAACTTCCGAAAAAATCTTCCCCTAACGTATGTGCTAAAATTAGGTCTAAAATCAGACCTTAAAAGAATATGTGGTACATTCGTCAGAGCAACATGTTCCATTCTTTAAGCTTATTCCCAAAAGTATAGCTAATTTTTTTTTTCAATTTGGTTTCAAATCAATTGATAGGTCTAGGTATTGCGGTTTTTCAAAGAATTTGAAACATAAAAATATGTCACGTTCATTGATTTCAAAAATTGATTTGAAACTCCATCACAAAGATTCAGCATTTTGAAGGGATTTAGCTATAAATACTTAGAAAAAATACAGTCTAGATTCTTGATTGAAAAATTTATCCAATCAAAACCCGGGGAACGAGTTTATGAAAAAGGGAAAATATCTAACGAGCCAACACTGACACATACACACACATGCACACACGCAACCACATAAACACATACACACACACCTCAATATGAAGGTTTACAAAAAAGAGATATTTTGTAAATTGTTTTCACCAATCAGTGCAAGAAGTTAACTATAATTTGTATCGCGATTAGGGTCCTAGCCCAAAAGTTTTGGCTACGGTGTCTGCAGAAAGTGACATGAGCTGAGAAATTTATGTTGCCAAAAAGTGACGCCAAAAATGACATGGTGTAATGTCACTTTTTAGTCAATTTTATGTGAGAACAAAAAGTGACAAGATCGATGTCATTTTTTGGAATTCGGGGTTAACACCAAAAAGTGACAAGGGTCTACTTTTTGGAAAATAGCTGAAATTCCTCTGAAGAGCCTTACTAAAAATCCAAAAACACCAAAAACTAACAAAGAGATTCCTACTTCATTGATTATACAATAAAATTTAGAACTTAGAGAGTTTTCAACAAGGAAATTGACTAAAAGTTAGTAAACAAGAGGAAAACAGCCCAAAAATTGTCCAACCCCAAAAAAAGACCCCTTGCCCCAAAAACAACAACATAACCAAAAAACTGATAATAAACTGAAATAAATCATAATGTTAAGATTTAAACCTTTTTCAAGATGGGAATTGCCTGAAAACTATAGTGACAAACAAGAAAGTCAGTATTTGACGCCAAATCCTAAAAATGGGTTGCAGAAAAATGCCTGATTTTCTCAACAACATTTTTTTCTGAAATTGGCTGAAACTCGTCTGAAAACTTTTAGTAAGTAAAAAGAACACCAAGAAACAACCCAAAATTTGTTACCAACGAACACGACAACAACACGAACAATTTTCCAGGCACAAACTCTGTTTATATCAAGTGGTTTAATATCCAGATTGATCCTGTCAGTGAAGTTTCATCTCGTTGATTGACATATTCGAAACCATCAGTGCTCTTTAGAAATATAAATCTGGTAAAAAGACCCATTATTTTTTAATGGAATACTTCAAGTTCGTCAATTTCTTAGACACTATGGAGAGTGTACATTCACAATTTCAATAATTTATTTCCAATGGCTGATGAGAAAAACAACCTTAATGCAGTAAAGCCATTATAACGAAAACATTGCTCCAGCTCAGTTTTGGATTTCTCAAGTTGTAACAATCGCATTATAGCAAAAAAAATTTGTTGGAATGCTCTTTTTAATCACAAAACCGTGACTATCAGAAAAACTTAGAAACAAGCATTTCTCCTGCATATCAAAAGCAAATTTATAGCCAAAGTTTCGTTTGAAGGAAAAAATAAATTTTTTAAAACTTCATCTATTTTGACTCAAACACAAACGGTTCTCCTGCCAAAAAACTATCTGAGAACTCTACGAACAATCATCAAACTTATTGTGGTTTCATAACTAGAAAAATACTGTCAGTGAAATTTCATCTCTAGTTTCAGATATGTTCGAGAATAATTATGTTAACTCTAAAACTGAAGATCGTGAAATGAGCCAAATACTTTTTCAATTTTTTTACTCATTGAGGTTGTTTTATACAGTTTATGAGAAGTTCACATACACAATTTGAGCTTCATAAGTCCAAGCAATGATGACAAATCAAGATTGAGTCAAAAGAAGCCCTAGCCTCGGTAAAAAAATCTGCTCAACCTCGATTTACTCTTTTCTTAAAAGTTGATTTACAATGAACCAGGATTCGTTGGAAAGCTATTTTTTGATTAAACGTGGAAAATAAAACAAATAAGTAAAATGTTTTATGGCTAACCAAAGGCTATTTTTTGTCTAAATTCTATTTTTTTGAACTTTTTTATTTTTCTTGTCAATCTTCATCATACTTGCTTTAATCACTTATAGTTTCAAGCTAAAATTTCATCTGAGACTCTTTAAAACGCATTAGACTCATATATGGATCGTTTTTCATTGGTTTGATGATCAGATTAAATCCGTCAGTGAAGTTTAATCTCATTGAACGACATGTTCGAGAGTATCAGTGTTCATTCCGAATTTGAAGATCGTGAAATGACTCTTTCGGAATGAACTGAAATGACGTGAAACGAGATTTTTCTAAACAATTTTTACTCAATCAAGTTGTGTTATACACTCTATGAAGAGTTTTCTTACACATTTTTAGCTTTATAAACCTAACAGATAATGAAAAATTAAAATTGAGTCAAAAAAGCCCTAACCTTGAACAAAAAAAAATAAGCTAAATCTCGATTTACTCAACCTTAGAAAATTTCATTTTGATGAAAAAAGTAACTTGAAAACTCTCCTCAGTGTTCAAACGTAGAATTTATTTAAGAAAATTATAATTGTAATGTTTTATAGCTGACCAAAGGCTATTTCCCCGCCAAAGTTCGAAAATGAAGATCGTAAAATGACCCAAAAAAAGATGGTTTTTTTTCAATTTCTTTGTTTATTAATGTTTACTATACTTTCATCATATTATGTCAAATGCGTGGTGAGAAAATCACCAGTGAGCCGAAGTGGCCCAAGCCCCAAGAATTTCACCTTGGCTCAAGTTTAATTTTCTCAAGTTCTAGAAATTGCATTATAGCAAAAAGCGCTTGTTGGAAAGCACGTACCAACAAAAAGATGACAGTTGTGTATGATTTTCAAAAAATCCAGCGTTGAAATCAATCTTGGGCTAAATTCTAAACCTAAGTTTCACTTTCCCTGCCAAAAGTGACATCTCTAGGGCTAATATTTAAAAATGTTGAAAATAGCGCCACAAAAATTTGAATCGAAAAAACAACATGACCATGCCTAGAGGTTAATTTTATTTAGTTACCTAAAGTCAATTCTTCTGAAGCTGACTCACTTCTATCAAAATCGTGTTGTCAGACTAACTACACTTTATTGCAGATTTTTCATTTAGGTTTTGAAAGTGAGCAACAAAGTTTTTTAAATAGTCTAGTCGGTTAATTTAGCTCAAGAAACCACCAAAACTATTGTGTTTTGAAAAATTGGATCTTTTTTGATGAGGAACAGACTTTAAAACTTTTCGAGCCTAGCCCCAAAATTACGATAGACTTAATAAGCCCTAAAATTTTGAAAACTTATCTTAACTCAACATTTGATACATATTCGGAAACTAAATGAGCAGGGCTTTCCAAAAACGCCTAAATACAATTTTTTGACCCTTCTTTTGTTAACCCTAAATCGACCAAAAAGTGACATTTGCCTAGCCGCAAATTTTGCTAGACCGTTTTTTTTCAAAAAGGTAACTCAAAATTGCGTGTAATCGCCAAAAAATTGAATTCGTAAGTCCCTCAGACACCGAGAACCCTTTTGAGCTGATACCTCAAAAAGGTGTTTGGCACGGCTAGGCTTACAAAAAGTTACATGGCTAGGCTTAATTTTATGATTTTTAAGTCATATCAAAATTCAAAAGAAACTCAGTTTCAAATAGAGTTTTAAATTGGTTTACTAAAAATTTGGAAATTAAAACTTTCAAAGACTAATTAATTTTAATTTGGCATGAGTACGTTTTGGAATTAAAATGTCTAGAACTTTTGTTTCACTCGTTATGAGGTGTTTCCCTCTCCCTAACAAAAATGGTCTGAAGTTGAAGTGGAGGAAATTTCAGAAATTGATTATTTATAGAGGATGGGTTGGTTGTCATTTTGTTCTATATTGACATGGGTCGTGGATTATATCTC